TCCTCGTTGACAATGTAGAAAAGCAGTCTGGAAGTTTGTACTCCGACTGGGATCTACTTCCCCCAAAGACGATTAAGGACCCAGAGGCCAAGAAGGTAACTGTTGTTCTAGTTATATGACAAATTTGTTCCAGATGATGTGTCTTTTATTACTTTATGTGCTGGTGATTTACTTTCTACATGTCAATGACAGCCTGAAGATTGGGACGACAAGGAAAACATCCCAGACCCTGAAGACAAGAAGCCAGAGGTAAATGAACTGTGATTCTGTATCCTCTGCCATATTCCAATTAAATGTTGGCAGTAAGAGAACCACATGGTAATGAGTCGATAACAAATCATATATTTTCTATGGCTGCAGGGTTATGATGACATCCCAAAGGAGATTCCAGATCCTGAAGCCAAGAAGGTGATTAAAGCTAATTTCCATTTTCCCTTGCTTACCCATTAATAAATCGATGTACTTGCATAAGATGCTTTGCAATTACAGCCTGAAGACTGGGATGACGAGGAGGATGGTGAGTGGACTGCACCAACTATCCCCAACCCCGAGTACAAGGGACCATGGAAGCCAAAGGTTTGTGAAATCTCAATTTAGATTTTTTGACATTGTTTGAGAAATAAACTCTTAGAGCTAGCTTTTGCCATTGCCAGAAACTTAAGAATCCCAACTACAAGGGCAAGTGGAAGACGCCAATGATTGACAACCCAGGTTCATCTTCTTTTCTTTTCAGCGTGTGGGTGCATCACACTGGCATCAGGAGTTCTAACTTTTTGGCTAATTTGATAATATCATGATCCCAGATTTCAAGGATGACCCAGATCTCTATGTTTTCCCAAATTTGAAGTATGTCGGCATTGAGTTGTGGCAGGGAAAAGAAATGATTGTCCATTCACGTGATTTTTTGGTATGTAATTCATTAAGATCTCCTAAGTGACAAATTGTATAAATTTTCAGGTGAAATCTGGAACGTTGTTTGACAATGTTTTGATTTGTAATGACCCTGAGTATGCCAAGATGCTAGCCGAGGAAACATGGGGCAAGCAAAAGGATGTATGTGGAATCACAAGTTTTCAAAAGAACCTTCTCTTCTATTTTTACTCAAAACAGTAGTTTTCCTTGCAAACACAGGTGAAAATCTTACCTACCTATTGATGCGTTAACTGTCAATTTTGCAGGCTGAGAAGGCTGCTTTTGATGAGGCAGAAAAGAAGAGAGAAGAAGAGGTAACTTAATCTCACTGAATATCATTCGTTGAGGAGATTCTTTAATCTTTCTTTTATTGAACATCATTTTGTTTCTATACAGGAATCAAAGGATGATCCAGTTGATTCTGATGTAAGACTTAAATCCTCTCTTAAAGATTAATATAGTCTATACATATCTTTATGTATATCCTGTTTATGAGGCCCTTTCTTTTCATAGGCTGAGGATGGAGATGATGATGCCGATGATGCTGAAGCTGACGATGTCGATGATGATGATGTTGCAAATTCAGACTCAAAGGAAGACCATACCGCCTCAGTTGATGGTGATGTACATGTAAGGATATCAGTCTCTGTTTATTTCAAATTCACGGCTAACCATTTTCTTGACAGTCGTTTAATTTCATATACCATATTTGGCTTCTGTTCTGCAGGATGAATTGTAGGGTGTTCGAGTACACACATTCTGCTGACAACGTGCAACTCGGACAAGTTGGCTCGGAAATTTTTTCTTCTCTACTTTGCAATTAGAATTACGAGAGGACTTGTTTTATTCGTTCTGTTTTAGATATTATCAAATAGTCTGAATTGAATTCACTTTTTTGTTCTATTAGACCCAAGTTCTTTAGACTAAGTTTTGTATGTCTAACACCATTTATCATATTTTAATATTTTAGTAAAACTTATTCCCCCATGGCCTCAACCACCAGCCTTTTGTTGCTGGTGGAAATTGATTATGTGAGCCACGGGCTTATGCACTATTGCTGGTGTCGTGTTAAAATGAGCGAAAAGGTTACGAGAGGAGGAAATTACACCGCGCTACTACCTACAGTATTATATTCAACCTTAGTGGAAAAATCGTTGTTTAGAGGTTAAGTGTTACTCCATGGCCAGATGACGAGTTGTGAGCCTTGGGTCTGATTTAGATCAACGGACTAGGGTCCTCGTATAAAATGAGGAAAACTTTCACCAACTTTTCACTGTTTATCTCGTATTCTCACTCTTCCTTCATCCTTCTCAGCTACGATAATTTTTTTTCCTTGAAATTCAGTGTAATGAGCCTATTGAATTCTTTTGGCTTCAAGGATTATATTTCTTCTCGAGAAGGAATTGAAGTATTGGTATTGAGGATCAAATGTTGCGTTGTGCATAACTTGTAGCCAAATATCAATCGACCCTGTAAAAGTCCAATAGCAAGTCTACATTCTGATCTGTATGCTGTTTATGTACGATAATTTCCAGATGATAAATAAACCTGCATAGTTTTTAAATCAAGCAAAAATCTTTTCTGAATGAAAAGCCTATTTTTCCATAAATTAAAATAACATAGCAAGTGTGGATATTGAATTAGTCCAGGGCAGAAAAAATCGAATAGACTACACTAGGGCTGGAGATGGTTAGATTTAGTTCGGTTCTATGTACATAATTTCCAGGTAATAAATAAACCTGCATGGTTTTTAAATCAAGCAAAAATCTTTTCTGAATGAAAAGCCTATTTTTCCATAAATTAAAATAACATAGTAAGTGTGGATATTGAATTAGTCAAGGGCAGAAAAAATCGAAAAAGACTAGACTAAGGTTGGACATGGTCCGATTTAGTTCGATTCTAACGAGAACCGAACCGAAATTTTCGGATATTTAGTAAGTGGAACCGTTGGATCCAAATTTAATTATAAAATCGTTCTGGTTCGATTCAGTACTCAAGTCCGTATTATAATTAAATTTCTTAATATTTTATAAAGTTATATTAATTCAACTAATGATATGTTCAATCTTAACTCTTACAAAATAACGTAATTCAATTTTATATGTCTTTTGCATTTCTTTTTGCTGAGTTCTTCATAAATTTGATTGTTAAAATCACATGAAGAGAAAAAGAACGAGCTCAAAATAATTAAGAGACATTGTCGAGCTTTAATTCAATTTTTTAGAACGATAGAAATAACATTATGGTAGAATAATAGATTTGAATAAAACTTAGGTCAATTTGATTAAATTGGCTTTGAATTGAAAATTAGAAATAAGAAAATCATATATTTTTTTTGGTTTGAACTAAATTAAATAGTTAACAAATTTATTTAGAAAAAGTAAAAAAAAAATTGCTTATTTAAAATAAATTAATTAAAAAAATTAGGGAGATTTAGTTCTTATTCGATTCTTCAGGTCTTGATTTAAAATTGAGAATCGAACCAAATTCGTCGGTTCTCGACTCAGATATCAGTTTGGGTATTTAACTTAAGAATAATCACTCGGTTTGGTTTGGTTCGGTTTAAGAGTTTTGTCCAGTGTTAGACTAAACCAAACAAATCAAATCGATTAAGGTCAATTTGATACAGTTAATTGCTTTGGTTTGATTTTCTTTTAAACAAAACCATGGTAGGTCGGTTTAGTCAAGGTTTGAAGTAACAAATCGTTGATTAACCGAACCAATCCAACTAGCTATGGGCAAAAAAATCGAAAAATTGACCAAACCAATCAAATTGGACTTAGGTTTGACACAAGTAATTTGTTTGGTTTGGTTTTGTTAAGGGCTTGTTTGGGAGCGATTTTTCCTCCCAAAAAATTGATTTTTGATCGTTATTTCACTATTCCTGTCATATTTGACTTCTTCTCTCACAGGTGGACTCCACCTTTCTCCTAATAGTCAAAAAAATCAATTTTCAAAATCACTCTCAAACAGATTCTAAAACAAAATTATGGTGGATCGGTTCAATCATGTTTGAAGTCTCAAACCATTGGCTAATCGAACAAATCCAATTCACTTACATGTTTACCTTTTTTCTTTTAATTTAAGAAAAATAAACCGTAATCTCATAACTATATCTCGATTCCCTTCAATCTGTGATGTTGCCGATAAGTAATAGCACTGAAAATTTCCTTTCATAAGCTTAATATGTTATACTTAGCATTTTTTCCTACTCAGATAGTCAGACTACATAAAAATAAAAAAGCAACAGATTTTTAAGTTTTCTAATGATCTATCTCTATTAATTTGATTTTTGTCGTTCTATTCGGAACAGTCGGGATCGTGCTCTATCAAAACGAAATTTCTTTATTTGTTAGTCAATAGTTATTTTGGTTCTTGTAATCTAAGTGGTCCCAAAATTTTGATAATATTTCTTTTTTTTAAAAAAAATTCTATCTGGAGTAAAAGTTCAAACCGACTAATCGCACCAAACCAAACCGATTTGGTTTAAGAGTTAGAATGAGTTGGTTTGGAATGAAATTCATTCAAATCGACTAATTTGATTTTGGTTTTGATTTCGAGTTGGATTTAAAACTAATTCAAATCAAATTGCGCTAAGCTCACATTGAATAATGAAAATTTTTAGGTATGTTTTCGTGCATTAGATTAAATATTTGGTTAAAACAAATTGTAGATGAACTGCATTGGCTCAAATTTGATGATTAAAGAGATGTTAAGTGGGTCGATTAGCTCGCTGACTTAGCTTGTCGCACTAGTGAGTCGTGGCCATGAGCAGAGCAACAAATTGCTCTTGTGAGCCACTTGTCCGCTCATAAGAGTTTGCTTGTGATTTTATTGATTTGTGTATTAAATGATTTGTCTAATAAGTGAAATGTCATTTTTGGTGAAAAATTAGCGATTTTCAACTCAACTAGCTCGAAACTAGCATGGACTACCACGAATTCCATTGTCAAATGCTCGTAGATTTTAGTTTCAGCATATGCTTGTGGGCTTTTCTTATTTCGGGTTGGATTGAAAATATTAAATAGGAATTATTGGATAATTCGAGCCACGCTTCGATTGAGCGAGCTCAAAGTTGGGTCGTCTCTTTTAACATCCTTAAACAATTCCTTGTCTTGATGGTGCACTGCTTGGCGTTCTTAGATTATTAGCATCAATTTTGTACGTCCGCCACTCTTCTGTTCTCGTTCTTTGGGTAAATTCCCTATTTTACTCACTGTGACGGTGGGTCAGCAGTTAGTTCATCAAACACAGTACAGTACATAGCAAAACCTCACATAGTTAAGTCCGCCACTGCCAACGGACATTTCGAAGCTCCATTAAGCTCCTTCTTCTTAGCTCTTATAAAACAAATCCAGAACACACTCTCACAGCAAATTTCTCCAAAAATGCAATCTGCAATCTCTCTGTCGCTCTCCCCTTCTTCGTCGATCACCAGATCCGACTGTAGTGTCGCCGCCAATGCGTATTTGTGTACTCCGAGATCTCTCCGATTTTGCGGTCTAAGAAGAAAAGTGTTTGAATCCAAGTCGTTCCATTCGTTGAAGGTTTCGACTCGATTAGTGCCATGTTCTCGAGAATCGAATTTTAACAAGGTCTGTGCTGCGTTGCAAAGCAATGGAACGCCATCCAAGGGAGGATTTGATTATGATCTCGTGATTATTGGAGCTGGTGTTGGTGGACATGGTGCTGCTCTTCATGCTGTTGAGAAGGTAAAAGCAATACTTGAGTATATTAATTCGTTTTCCTTATTTTTAGCTGCTTCATTAATCAGTTGTAAGCTGAAATAGTTAGGTTTTTATTTTTTATTTTGTTTATTCAAGGTTGTAAGTTATTCGAAGCAACTAAAAAACTTCCACATGATGATTTTCTATGCATCTCTGTTAAATTGATTGCTGTTGGTTAAGAGTGAGCCCTTTTTTGGTGATATGAAATGAAACATTGGCATATACTTCTCAATTCAGTTTTTGACTATAAACAAAACATCGGCATGTACTTTTCAATTCATTTTTTGACCACGAAGTGTTTATGATCCAAGATGAGAGCTTGATTTGTTGAACACAGTCAAGGGGGCGTCTCTATAAATTTACTTTCCAAATATGTCAAGTATAAATGTATTCCCGCTCTGAAATACTATTGTCCATATTATTGTTATTTGTGATGCCAGATGTAAATCATTTTTGTATATTTATATAGCAGAGAGTCATGAGAAGTTAGATAACTCATATGTACTGCAGGGTTTGAAAACTGCAATCATTGAAGGAGATGTTATCGGAGGCACGTGTGTAAATAGGGGCTGTGTGCCTTCAAAAGCACTTCTGGCTGTGAGTGGCCGCATGCGGGAGCTTCAAAATGAACACCATATGAAGTCCTTCGGGCTACAGGTACTTCTCATTATAACAATCAAGGTCAATACATGTGATGTAATTCACCGTTTTATTGAATCATCTTCGAGACTGAAAGTTCTGAAATAAATTCAGAATGTACAAGCATCATCATGATCTCGGAAAACTGTACTGCCATTTTTCCTATAACTATTCTTAGTTCACAGACTATTCAGAATCGTATAATGTGAATACAAATCATTTTCTTGCCATTTGTTAATGAAAACTATATAGGAAGTTTTATTGAAGTTCCAATGATTGCATAGCCTTTTGAAAGCAATGTGATAATGATTATTGTGTTTCTATAACTACCTTCAGAAGAGAAACATAGAGAGTTAAGTAATAGCATGTCTGGAAGTAATAAGAGTTTATAAACGTAGAATTAAATAATAACAACATGAAACAATGTTCTTTTGCACTATGAATTGGTTAACAATAAGCTTAAATGGGTAAAGATTTACCATTTAGAAATTTGTGTCAAGCTGCATCTAGTGAGGAAGTCATGTGACCGCCAGTTGAAATATGCTTGAACGATTGATGATTTCTTCTCTTATCATGTTCTTTAAATCGATGTATCCTTCCCAGCTTATCAAACATCACATTCCACAATGATAGGTTGCAGCTGCTGGATATGACAGACAGGGAGTTGCAGATCATGCCAACAATTTGGCCTCAAAAATACGAAGTAATTTGACAAATTCAATGAAAGCTCTTGGTGTTGATATTTTGACAGGCACTGGTACAATTTTGGTAGGTTGATGTATTTTGTCATCAGTATTCTGAGCTTTGAAATACTTGTGTTATCCTTGTAACTCTATCACTAGAAAATTTAAACTTATTTTTATGGTTTAGGAGTATTTTAAAATTACAGCATAACAATCATAAGCATATCCAGGGTCCACAAAAGTTGAAGTTCGGAAAAGGAGGGTCTGGGGACACGTTCGTAACAGCAAAAGACATAATAATTGCTACTGGTTCTGTTCCCCTTGTGCCCAAGGGAATTGAAGTTGATGGTAATTATTTGTTCCTTCATCATCTTCTATTTTTAGCATAGTTCCAAGGAGTTGCTTTGTGTTTTTCTTTATTCTTGTATTAACAAATTTTTTTTTTTTTTTGTGGCGAGG